TTAAAATAGGTGAAATTTACTAATCGCTGATTTAAAATTTTGTCGGACTACATTGCCCATTGATTCCTCATCTATACTATTATAGCCATGTTCTTTCACTCACTGATTTTAGTGTTTTTCATTATTTCTCTTTTGATTCTTCTTCCAACCTCCTCTTGAAGTTGATCCCGTGATTAGAAATGGCAGTTTTTGTACTTTTGTTTTCTTTATTTTATTATTTTAACTACTAAAATATTTTCAAGAGTCCCATAATATGCATATTGGGTTGCCAATGCGTAGCCAGTGCAGTGTGCGGGATTTTAGGATCATAAAGGTGATAACAGTGGATAGTTTTTTAATCATTTTTATCGTTGAACTGAAAAAAATTGAGGAGATTGTGTAGAGGTTGTTTATTTTTACGTCATTTGCTTGCTTTATACTGTGGCTACCATGTGAATAGCAAGAATACGTTATTATGGATCAATTACCTTACCTATCATGATTGTTGTTAAATTAAGAACTTCATACTGCATTATAATATGAGTATTTTATTTTCAATTCACAACTCAGAGTATTCATTCTTACCAAACAAAAAATATGAATTCAGTGGTATGGTGTCTACCTATTTGAACTTGCAGGATGTGCATGTCATATTTCAACTATAATTTAGCTTATCAGCGGACGTAACCAATGCCCACATAAGATATTAAAAAGTAGAATAAATAGTTTTATGCCTTGTTCTCTCTTTTCTTTTCTTTTTCTTTTTTAAAAAAAATGGTTAACCCATTGACATTTGTCTATGACAATACATTTAAATCCTACTAGTTATAATTGAACTACCAGTTATGCAAAAGAATAACATGTTGCGATATTGGGTTAATACAACAAGTTGTAATTCAAGTTGATGATTTTTGGAAAAAATACATAATAGTTATTATTGTTATTCTTTTAATATAGCAAAAAGATCTTGGAAGAGATAATGTCGTGAATGACTACATTAGCACTTTATTTTATATTGGATTGACTATTTACTTGTTGTAATTTCTTTTTTAATTAATGTTCAAGTTGTAACAACATGTCTAGTGATTTGCTATTCTCGATTACAAGAACTACATATGGCGGAGAAGAATACAATCAACTTAAAATTTTCAAGCATTTAGAGAAAAGGTAATTTCCTATTGCCCGCAAAAGTTGAATACGACCTAAATACGAAGTTCATATGACTTAGAATCAACTCATTAATTGGTCTCCCTATTCTTTTTTCGGCTAAAAATATTCACTTGCTATTTCAGTGATTGAGTTTAGAATAATGTATGTATACTTCTTTCTCCTCTATACGAAATCATTAAAAAGTAAAATAAAACTTGGCATGTGTATTGCTATAACTTGAATTTAGTGGGATCACTTCCGTGAGTAAATACTTACCTAGCTCATCTTATGAATACCACTTATCTCTTGATAGTTTTTCTTATATCATCTCAATTATTGAAGTTATCATCCTCTAAAACCTTCTCTACCTTACCTTATAAGTACCACATCTCTCTTTTGATAGTTTTCCTTCTCAATTACTGAAGCTATAACCTTTTCAAGTAGTAATTTAAGTCCTCTAGATATTGTTACTTACATTACTTTTTTCCTTGACACGCATAACATCCGTAATATTTGTAAATGCTTACAAAATGCCTTTCCTTCTTTTACCTTTATATTTATTATTATTTTTTTGTTTATTCAGAGCTTATATTTTTATTGTTTGTGGGTTAGTGTACCATTTTGTCTTATTTCTTTCCTATGTTCTGTAGCTACATTTGCAGGTACAACTTATCTTTCCTCCCTCCCTCCTTTTTTCCTCCCTAGCAAAACTAGCGCACATCCATATTATTGTTCAGTTCTTCGGGTGGGGTTTTATGTCTGCACTTTGTGCCAGTTTTATGTCTTACAGAATAAGATCATATACACTTCCAAAGGCATTTACTTCTGATATCCTTGACACATAAAATTAACTAATGTATGTATACTAGATACAAAGGTTTATGTTCTATACTTCTACTTGTTTATGAAATTATTTTTTATTTTTGGTTAATAATCAATCCATGTACAGGGTCTCGAGAAATAAGGAACAAATTAATGCCAGCTTGGAAGCGGTGTTGAGATTGATCCACGAGCACATTCAGATGATATCCCAAAATTTATGATCGGACAAATCAAGATTTTTGACTAGCTTTCGTAAAGAAGCTTATAAGAAATTGTTTCAGGACTTGTGTTTATGTAGTTGAAACTAAGTGACTCAGTTGGCAGACTACGTGAAAGGTCAAACTCCTAAGTTTTGAAGGAAAAGAATAGTAATGTAAGTTAGTAGGATAGGTATTAGACATATGATATGTGCACCAACTGTTTCGACTTTACAACTTGATAATTGAATGAGGAATCATTTATTTTGTTAAAAGGCCGAATGATGATAGCCAAGATGCAAGTGTTGTCTGTGGTATTTGCAATAGATACTACATCAGATGGTGTTTAGTGATAATTACAACTTTACAGAATTTGAGAACAATAAACCTAGAATATTCCATATTTGGGTAATGAATATTCAGATTAGTCTTTTCGTGTTGGGTAATGAAATATTGATTACTTCCTACGGTTTCTTTGACCATTCCAGTTGGATTCCCAAATGAATTCTCCAAAGCATCATTAGAGAATGATAGTTAGTTTAAATCTACGATGTTGGGCCCGTGTTCTGCACGGGCAATCCTCATCTAGTTTAGTTATAAGTCGCATTAATTTCTGCGACATACAAACCACATTAATATGGTAAATGATTTTGGGAAAATATAAGTTATGTCCATTTATAAGTAGCTTATTATAAAAATTGGTCAATTCATAAAATATTACTAATATTAGCCAATTAGTTATTTGTAGCAAAAAAGTCAAATTTTTATTTTCTTTTGAGTAAGTGTTATTATATTAGATTGGGTACATCTTAAGGAGCTTGAATCTCAGGTTTGAGACGATTTGATGGAGTTTTGAGATGGTTCGAATTGAAAATTCGAAATAGAAGATGAATATGATAAAAATGATAGGTGTATCACACTGTATAAGTTGTGTAACACATATGTATCAAATGTGTATCACATGTAAATCCATGTATACATGTGTGTGAGGTACATGTTTGATATATGTTTCGCTAACTCGATTTTAACTACAAATTTTGATACCAAATCAGCTCAAATCACCTCCAATCTTCCTTAAATTTTGTATACCGACTCATTTATATGTTTTCAATGAATCTCAACCATACCCCTTTGAAAAAAGTCCTTTTTACTTAGATTTTTGGAATCTTGTATGTATATATATATTTTTTTTGTATTTTATCACTTTATTTGCTACCTCATCCATGGAATTTTATTTCCGTATTGCATCTAATGTTACTGATCACGCTTGAAAATATGGAGGGAGATATTTCGTATGATTCTTGGAGAGAGAACTTTATTTCTTTGGGTTTTCAATTTTTATACGTGTTTGGCTAGTTTTGGTAAGTTTATGATTAATGGCTAGAGGTTGGTAAGTTGAGACTTTTTTTTGTAAAAATAGCACGGTATAGCCAGTTTTCGGATTAGTCATTCAAAAATAGCCAGCGTTTACCAAGTCAATGAAAAATAACCACTATTTTGCTGCAACAGAGACCTGTCCAGCATAATATACTGGAGTTAGGTGCACTTGTGTATTAACTCTAGCATATTATGCTGGACCGGTATACTTTACTGGCTCCAGTATAATATACTGGAGACTGGAGCACTGGTGCTCCAAACTCCAGTATATTATGCTAGAGTTCTAGTGTACTTATGCTGGAACTCCATCATATTATGCTCGAGTTCTAGCATACTTATTCTGGAACTCCAGTATAATATGTTGGAGTTCAAGTATACTTATGCTGGAACTCCAGCATAATATACTGGCGTATTTTCCGGGTTTTGAACAGTGTTTTTGCTCAGATTTATCTTTACATGAAAAGTAGCTAAATTTCGATTACTTTTGAAATTTGACTATTTTTGAACGATCAGTTGTAAATCTAGCTATTTTTGAATTTCTCCAGACTTTTTTGGGACATTTCTATAAGATTTCGAATGATTTTTATGCTAATATTAAACCGATTATACCAAGTAATTTAGTGCATTTTACGTTCCCAAATCAAGATTACTATAGAAAACTTGTTGTAGCTAATCATGCTATATACTTTTTTAACGAAATAAATTTGTTGGTGTAAAAGCTGTACACTAATAGTGTCAATGTCATTTCCAAAAAAATGGTAGGAGCATTGATAAATTTTTTGAAAACAAAATTAAGTATTTGAAAATAACAATAGTCCTATTAATTACAAATTATACAAGTATATAAAAATATTTTATTTTCTTGTCTTTTTTACATTTTCCCTTTTATGTTTATCAAACATGTCAATAGAAAATAGATAAATTATTAGTGATGAAGTATAGTTGAAGGGTTCGATAAGGAAACTGAGCCGATTAAATTAATATAGTACTTTTATCAAAGCGAAATGACTAGATTAGAGTTAATTTGCAAATATTATGGTCGATAACAACTTGGGAACAAATTTATCTATTAAATTGATATTATATTGACAAATTTTAATATGAAATTATTAAAAAACTCTATAAAATGCTCAGACTTTTAATATGAATCTCGTATTTATTTTTTATTGAGTTTTTACTTTATCAGGTCAAAATATAATATTAAATAATTTATTTTTTCATTGATAAATCTGTATTTGATTAAACACATAAAAAATTTCAGTACTTTCCTTTTACTCCATATAGCTGTGACGTGATAAGGGAAAAAACATTGATCAATAATTAATAAACTTTTGTGTTAATGAGAAGTATTAGGAGTAGATTATATAAAAATGTAAAATTATGTATGAAGTACGTAGTAATTTTATGTACTAGAAAACATATCGGACACGTGTTTCTCCACTTCACATATAGTCCAGTTGCCTAACATAACCTTTCTATTTACTCTTTCAGCCTTTGTTGACCCAACCCTTAAAAGTGTTCAGTTTCAGCTGAAATCGTGAGTAGATTCCGGCGATATGACCGTCGGAGATTCGCCGGCGGATTGGCCTCCTCCTGGATGGACTGAGGATGTCAAAATAACTAGCGGAAGAAAAACCAAGGTTAAATAATTGAAAGTTTTTTTTAGCTAATTTATAATGAATTAGGATATTGCTGCTGTTATTCTGTGTTTTATTCTTTGAGATTCGTTCAAATCCAAATGGATTTGCGGTAATTTTGCTCAATTTCCCCTTTATTTGTTCTGGTTCGATTTTTTAAAAGTGCGTAATCAGTCAATTTTGTAGTTTAACTCCAGATGGGTCTATGGTAATTTTTTATGGGGTTATTCAAATAACTTTATTATTGTTGATTTATGGGCTTGATCAACTTGGTAAACCAGTTGCATGTAGAATCTTGAATTACCCATTTTATCGAAAATGGTTTTATTGAATCCCATTTGCTGAAGAATTATACTGTAGTAAAAACTATTTTTTTTGTGTGTGTGTGCGCGCAGAGGCGGAGCCAAGATTTAGACCTTATGAGTTCGGGTTTGTAATCCTTTTAAGTTACTCTATTCTAAATTAATAAGTTGTACATATTCAAAAGATTTCTTAAGACAAATATATACATGGTTGGAACAAAAGCTATTGGGTTCGGCCGAACCCGCATCCCGCACTTTGCCTCCACCCCTGTGTGTGTATATAAAGCTATTGAATCCCCTTTATATGGGGAAAATTCTTGTAAAGCAGCAAAGGGGGTTCAAATTACGTTAGGTCACATGTCCAAATTGGATTGAATGCGTGAAATTTCCTTGTGTAAAATCCTGGCTCCACTACTGACATCATCGTTAAATGACCAGAGTCTAAATCAATTTCTTCCCATCTATCCAAGCCTTGGTGGATAGAATTTGCTGGTACCTGTTGCTGGTAGGAGGTGACAGGTATCCTGTGGAATTAGTCGAGGTGTGTGCAAGCTGGCCCGGACACCACGGTTATCAAAAAGAAAAAAAAAATCAATTTTCCCCTTTCTAGCTTTTTATGCATACCAACTACTAGTTGGTATTATGGCCAATAATGTCTTTTGTTTTAGTGACTTTTATGACAGAGTAGAGGCGTAGAGATAAGTGCGAGAGTTAGAGAACCTATAGCTTAACAGAATCCCTAATTTGCCTTAAAGCACAAATATTCAGTATTGGAATGTAACAAACTCGAATAGAGTGGAATGGTTTAGAGGAGTCATATATTCGACCCCAAGTGATATGGGATGGATGCATAGTTGATTGTGATTTAAGTGGCCATTATCCATATATTATAACTTACCAGTCTTTGAATTATTTGGAAATTATCGCACCAAGGGTGTGGCCTAGTGGGCAATGAAGTGTGAGAAAAACCATGAGGTCTCAGGTTCAAATCTGTTGACTCAATTTGTAAGAATGATGGATCTAGCATAAGGTTATTTCCTTTAGGAATTGAAACTTTCCTCAGTCTTTGAACTCTTCTCGATGTGCTTCATATTCTCTTTGGAGTATCTCATGTAATTGTGTTCCCGACTTGTCTTGGCTAATCTGGATATGTGCAGTGATGTTGCAACATTAGAATCTGCACTTTAAAAGATTGTTACATATGGAATAGCCGAATAGCAAATCAACTGCCATTAAATGATGTCATGTAAGAGATCTCATAATCTTTCTGCGTATACGGCTTGCATCACATGTTGTTGTCGTCATTTCTCTTTTCAGTACTACACACATGTGGAAACTGGGAAAAAGTTCTATTCCAAGAAGGAAGTCACTCGGTATATGAACACAAAAGATACTTGCCATGATGTAGCGCAAGTACTGAATCAAGATAAGAGTAGCACCGAGAACAATGTTAGTCAAATGAATCATCAAGATAAGAGCTTCTCTGAGAACAATGTTAGTCAAATGAATTATCAAGATAGGAGCTGCTCCGAGAACAATGTTAGTCAGGTAAGTTTTGAAGGTAAAGTAACAACGACATTCTACTTTTTTGTACGTGGTTTATCTTCTGAGATCTGTGACTTGTTATTGTCAGATTGTTGAGGAAACAAAGAAATCTCCTGAGTGGTTACCTGCAGGTTGGATAGTTGAGTTGAAGACTCGTAAGTCTGGCTCCAATGCTGGTTTGGCTTACAAGGTATGGAAATGGAAATCTACCAACCTCATACTTGTGGCTATGATTTGTTATAATACGTGTCTTTTATATTTCTTTTAGTGTGAACTTTCTGAAAGATTCGCAGTGTGTCAATTTCTGTGATGTATCAGCATGTCTTTTTGCAAGATTTCTCACTTAAGTAAACAGATAACATTGCTCATGCGAATTCCATGTACATGGCACTCCGTGGCATACAAATGGTCATGCTGCTTTTGGTTCTGCTGTTAGTTTATCTGAGTCCCAAAATGCCAATAATATTTGTTCACTGAGGTATTGATGAGAATGCAGATTCCAGGCAATATCTACTTCTGTTTAATACTAGTTATATAGGGTTTATAATATAGGGAAAAGTCCAAATTTACCCCTCTACTATATGAAATATTTTTATTTTACTCTCAGTTATACTTTGAGGCCATCTATACCCCTACTGAGACATTTTGCCCTTGATTTTTAACGGCACTCCAGCGTGGACGGGGTGAATTCCACATGTCGAAAAAGGTCCAAATTTACCCCTCTACCTTTTACTGGGTTGAAGTTATCCCTCGTTATACTTCGGATTGGAGCTCCATTAGGGTCAAGAGCAAATATGAGGATTTCCTAACAGTGGGGGTATGAATGGCCTCAAATTATAATGGAGGGTAAAATGCCCTGTGAGCTTTATAAAAATTGCTATTTTACAACATTGTTTATAATGCGTTTTAGCAAAATCAAATTTGGTTCTATTATCAACACCTTGATTAGTTTAATCATCGGGCTAACTCTTGAAGCAGTGATCTGCTGCATCTAGGCGAGGTTTGATAATTAGTGGAATATTTAGAAATTTTCAGTAAGAAGCCTCATGATTTAATTTAAATATACAAATTTTGAGTTCTTGTTTTCATAGGAACTTCAACCAAGTATTCCTAGAAACTTCCTTAGGGGCTTAGCTTGTTATAGTCTCTTTTTCTTTTTAACAGTTCCGTTGCTGCAATACTATGCAGCAGAATGTGGTAGTCCGAGTTTGCAACTTCTCAGAAAGAACCATGGCCTTTAGAGCAGCAATGATGCTATTTTGCAGATAACATGCTCCAATCACACCCTCATCTTTAGTTTACATTCATATTGTTTTTGGCTGTTCTTCCAGGTTTACATTGATCCATCAACTGGAAACAAATTCTATTCAAGGCCGGAAGTATCTAAATATCTCAAAACTATGAAGCAGAACGACATCACAGGAGAAGAACAGATAGTACACTCTCTCCCTTTTGACTTTCTCACCATGACATTCTGTTTTTAGTTTTTATACCTTTTTTCTAACTGATTCATGCATTTACAACTATTGGACTTGAAGATATCCTCTTTGCTCAAGATGCCAAATATCATTCTTCTTAAGTCAAAATTATGTTTATGAACCTGATCTTTAAAATGTTTTAAGAAACTAGTTCAGCTTTGATTATTAGGAGAAGTCATACAATGCCACATAATAAAGCTGGTACAGCGAAAACAAATATAAAGAAAAAGTACTTTGGATGAGATTTGATCTCCTTCTTGGTATCTCTGTCTGCATAACTCTAATAATGAGTACTCTGTTTCTACGCTATATAAGTAAAAAGAACGTTTCGTGTATTTATTCGGCAGTGGCCCCCTAAACGAAAAGGTACTCTGGAGAGTTGCACCATACATTTGTAACTAGTTTGAAATGAAAAAAATCTGTCTTTGGGCAGCCTGACACATATTTTGGACATTCCTTTTAGGAAAGAGTAGGTAAAAGTTTGATGGAGGGAGCAACTTGCAGAAAAGAAGTTGATAGTAGCTTTTGTAGCCTTGAGTTATTACAACATCTTCATGTGTAATTATGTTTTTGTTTCAGCATGGAACTGGTGAAGTATCCTCTTCAAATCAAAAAGCATCTGAGAATTCCAAAGATATCGGGGGCCTGAGTCGCATATCCAAAAGGCAGAAATCTGACGGCAATCGGCCCTCGGTAAAAACTATTTGTTCTGTAATATACTCATGACACCGCTAAAGATTCGGTTGTTAGCTGTGTAATTTAGTATGTTACCTATTTCTCTAGTAACATATAAGTGGCAGTTGAAAGCAATTCATTGGGTGTTGCATTTAGGTAGTGCAACTTATTCTCGTCAAATTATGTTTTTGTCTCAGCATGACATCAAGGAGGGGTCATTTTCCAAGCGGAAACCATCTCAGGATTCTGAAGAAGTTGGGGAACCGAGTTGCATATCCAAAACACATAAATCTGGCATTAACAGGCCCTCTACAAAGACTTCTGCTTCTGTAATATACTCAACATACTTCTGAAAATATTTGAGATTTTAATTCAGTATGGATTTACTGATTCTCGAGTACTATCTAGGTTGCTGTTGAAAGCAATTCAATGGGTGTAGCCTTGAGATATTGCAAGTATTCTCATGTAATTACGTTTTTGTTTCAGCATGGTGCTGGAGAGGACTCCTCTTTAAATGAGAAAGCATCTCTAAATTCCAAAGAAAACGGGGTACAGAGTCCCTCATCCAAAAGGCAGAAACCTGGCAGTGACAGTCCCTCTGCAATGACTGTTTGTTCTGTAATACCTCAGATCTTCTGATATATATGATTTATAGCTGAGCTATTATTCACCATAGGTTACTTTTGTTGTAAATATCTAGGTTGCAGTTGATTGCAATTCAGTGGATGAATTACCCCCAGGCTGGAAAAAAGAAGTCATAATTCGACAAACTGATCGTGGGATAAGAAAAGACCCGGTATTTCTCTTTATTCCTCAGCCCCTCTCTCTCTCTCTCTATATATATATATACACACATGGATATATATATGTTTGTGTGTATATATACACATATACACATACATATATATACTCACATACCCATAATCTATTCAAGGGGGACATTCTATTTTGCACCATTATGCAGTATTTTAGCATACATGAGAAAGGTGCTATGGGAGCAGGGTTTGGTGGGCTCCTTGTGTGATAGATATGAAATGCTGCAACAGTAGATATATATTCAAAGTTGAGAATTTTATATTGACTTGGTCATTGCAGGTTTACACGGATCCAGTGCATGGGTATAAATTTCGCTCCAAAAAGGAAGTTTTCCGCTATCTACAAACCGGAGACACTAGTAAGTGTGCTAGAAGACATTCTAAAAGGAATGTAGCTTCAACTATGAAGGATAATTCTGTAAGTCTACGCCTTTCTCGATTCCCCTCCCCCCTACCTGTCGCTAGTTGCCACTGTTATCAGGCTACTTGTTTGATAACTCCTTTTTTAATTTTAGTGCTCCTCAGCTTGCGTACAGAACCTTGTTGGTCATATTTTTATGTAGTTGCCTCCAGCGAGATGCACCAGTCTCAGCCCTTTAGTAGGAAACATATTACATCCTGTAAGAGTAGTGGTGTAGTTGGTGCTTCTGTAACACGTTGTTCGTGTATTGGAGGTACTGAAGAAGCTATTCTAAAACAGGCTCATTGAATTAGTGAAATTTAAGTCACATTAGAAGTAGTATCCAAGTTTAAAGAGAATAACTCCACATCTTACTATGCAAGTTTGAAGACAATCTTACATGTAATTTAGCTTTCTACAAAAAAGAATCTTACATGTAATTTGGCTAATGACTATTTGATCAGGGGCAGAAGGATTGCTCAATACCTTACGCTTCTAGGAGGAATCTTGTCTATTATTGCATATCAAATATAGTCATTCAAGTGTAAAATCAAAGTTAAATGGCTTTTCACCATATTAACATTTCTCAGCATGGGTATATTCTCTCTTTCTGTGTAACTGATTGACCTTGAAATACCTCCACCTTGTTCTTAATTAGCCTTATTTGGTGTCAGTACTGTAATCAGCTTTAATCTTTTATACACATGAAGTTTGCAAGCTCAATTTGCTTATTATCAAGACTAGTGGATGTTGATTTATCCTGAATGGGAGGATCACTGATGGTTGGATACTTATATTTCATTTGATAGCACACGACAGATGATGCCAGTTTGAAGAAATCAGAGTGCTTTGTGACAGGAAGACAACTTTTTGCCACTGAGGAGGCGAAAGGTGATGATCTGTAGTTGGAAATATTGCCCCATTGTGATATGCTACCATTAAAAAAGAAAAAGATTGCCCCATTGTCCCAGTCTGAGAGGACATACATTATTTATTCAATATCTGGTCATCCATACTAGTCATTTCAACACCCTTCATTTTACTTTTCTTCATTAATATGTTGACCTGCTTTCCCCTAGCTGTTGGTAATTATTTCTCAATTGTGAAACTGGAATTTCTGATGTAGGGGAAAATAGTTTTGTTACTTGCTCACCTGCACAGCAAGTTGAGAGTTCCAAGAAACTTCCTGACTGCAGTGTGTCTGATCCTAACATCATCATCACATCCATTTTAGCTGAGATAAATGAGAACCATTCCTTTGAAGATGTAAATGAAGATGCTGAAATAGGAACTGTAAGTGTTGGTGTTGAAACGCTATCAGCGGTTTCCACTCAGTCAGATCTCCTCCCAGAGCAGCAGCTACCAGAAAATGAGCAGGAAAAGCATAATTATAAAGCAGGGACGCAGCAATCTGGAAAATCCAGAAATCCAAAGTCACTTAAACCTGGTCGTCGGGTCTCCAAAAGACTTGCAGGTCGAGAACCAGAAGCAGCGACCGACTTGGATCTAGGTGAACATGCTCTTCCAGCTGTAGTTGAGAAATCTGCCTCCCTGAATGTCTGTGGTCAAGAATTGCTCCAGCACTCCGATCCTACACCGGAAACTGGTAACTCTGATCAGGCTTCTTTGAGTGGAGAAGCTTCAGTGGATGAATTACCCCCCGGCTGGAAAAAAGAAATCANCTTTTTTAATGTTAGTGCTCCTCAGCTTACGCACAGAACCTTGTTGGTCATAGTTTTATGTTGCCTTCAGCGAGATGCACAAGTCTCAACCCTTTAGTAGGAAACATATTACATCCTGTAGAGTAGTGGTGTAGTTGGTGCTTCTGTAACACGTTCGTGTATTGGAGGTACTGAAGAAGCTATTCTAAAGCAGGCTCATTGAATTTGTGAAATTTAAGTCACATTAGAAGTAGTATCCAAGTTTAAAGAGAATAACTCCACATCTTACTATGCAAATTAAAAGATATGAAGACAATCTTACATGTAATTTAGCTTTCTACAAAAAAAAATCTTACACGTAATTTAGCTAATGACTGTTTGATCGGTAGGATTGCTCAATACCTTACAATTCTAGGAGGAATCTTGTCTATTATTGCATATCAAATATAGTCATTCAAGTGTAAAATCAAAGTTAAATGGCTTTTCACCATATTAACATTTCTCAGCATGGGTATATTCTCTCTTTCTGTGTAATTGATTGATCTTGAAATTCCTCCACCTTGCTCTTGATTAGCCTTATTTGGTGTCAGCGCTGTAATCAGCCATAATCTTTTATACACATGATTTGTGAAAAACTTGAAGTTTGCAAGCTCAATTTGCTTATTATCAAGACTAGTGGATGTTGATTTACCCTGAATGGGAGGATCACTGATGGTCGGAAACTTAATTTCATTTGATAGCACACGACAGATGATGCCAGTTTGAAGAAACCAGAGTGCTTTGTGACGGGAAGACAACTTTTTGCCACTGAGGAGGCGAAAGGTGATAATCTGTAGTTGGAAAATCCCCATTGTGATATGCTACCATTAAAAAAAAAAAATTTGCCCCATTGTCCCAGTCTGAGAGGACATACATTGTTTATTCAATATCTGGTCATCCATACTAGTCATTTCAACTCCCTTCATTTTACTTTTCTTCATTAATATGTTGACCTGCTTTCCCTAGATGTTGATTATTATTTCTCAATTGTGAAACTGGAATTTCTGATGTAGGGGGAAATAGTTTTTTTACTTGCTCTCAGCAAGTTGAGAGTTCCAAGAAACTTCCTGGCTGCAGTGTGTCTGATCCTAACATTATCATCACATCCATTTTAGCTGAGATAAATGAGAACCATTGCTTTGAAGATGTAAATGAAGATGCTGAAATAGGAACTGTAAGTGTTGGTGTTGAAAGGCTATCAGCGGTTTCCACTCAGTCAGATCTCCTCCCAGAGCAGCAGCTACCAGAAAGTGAGCAGGAAAAGCATAATTATAAAGCAGGGACGCAGCAGTCTGGAAAATCCAGAAATCTAAAGTCACTTAAACCTGGTCGTCGGGTCTCCAAAAGACTTGCAGGTCAAGAACCAGAAGCAGCGACCGATTTGGATCTAGGTGAACATGCTCTTCCAGCTGTAGTTGAGAAATCTGCCTCCCTGAATGTCTGTGGTCAAGAATCGCTCCAGCACTCCTATCCTACACCGGAAACTGGCAACTCTGACCAGGCTTCTTTGAGTGGAGAAGCTTCAGTGGATGAATTACCCCCCGGCTGGAAAAAAGAAATCAAAGTTACAAAAAAGGCTCGTGGGATAAGAAAAGACCCGGTACTCTCTTTCTTTCTCTCTCTCTTTCTCTCTCTTTTTACTTGCATGCACATTATCCTGTTCACTCAGGGTCTATTTTGTACCATTATGCCATAATGGGTTATGCATGAGAAAAGCTGTGCTGCATTAGCAGTAGGGGCTGCTTATGCGAGGGGTGCTGCATAAGTAGATTTATATTCGAAGTTTTTTAGTGCGGATTTTAAGTTGACTTGATTATTGCAGTTGTACACTGATCCAGTGCATGGATATGTATTCCGCTCCAAGAAGGATGTTTTGCGCTATCTGCAGACTGGGGACATTAGTAAATGTGCTATAAAACCTTTCAAAAGGGATCTAGATGCAACAATGAAGGAGAGTTCTGTAAGTCATTTACATTTCTGCACCTCCCTCCAGTTCCCCTGTCACCTCTGTTATTGCTACTTGTTGGATAAGCTCCATTTTCCACATTACTGCTAAAACTTGTTGGTCATATTAGTATGATGGTGCCTCCAGTGCTATGCGGCAGTTTCAACCCTCTACTAGTAAAATATATTAGATCCAGTAAAGAACTGTGGTGAAGTTGGTGCTTTCTGTATTTTGTTTCAGGAAGAACCTCTTCTAAAATAGGTATGCTTTGTTCTGAGACAGAGTGGCTGAACTAGGGAATATAAAAGGAACACAGATTAAATCCGTGAAAGCAGTAACTTGAGTCAACTACAACTTGTCAAGAGTGGACAGCCTAGTTGTAAAGCCTGTCCACCTCCAAGCAGGTTGGGTTTGAGTCATGAAGGGCGGAAAGTGGGGAAGGGTAACTGTTGGATCCGGAGTAGGGGATTTGGGCGGTGGAGTCTCTCTCTCTCTCAAGATGCAGATGTTTCCCAAGTTTAAAGAGAATAATTCCAGATCATACTATTTGAATATAAATATGTGGAGACAGTAGCTTATGATACTATACCAACTATGCTCAAGAGGGTTAGAAGGAATGACTCAGTACCTTCTGTTTCCACAGTTTGAACCATGAGCTGATGAGCATTATGAACAACCTTTTCTTCTAAGTTCTTTAAATAGGAAAACCATGATAAACTCTAGCTAATGCGATAGAAGGTTAAAAGAAATGACTCCATACCTGATGGTTCCCGGATCTGAATCACCATCCTGGGCGTTACCGTTGTCCTTTTTCTTGTAAGTTCTTTAAATGAGGGGGAAAATCTTTATATCTAGTATTTTACATATCGAATTTAACTGTTCAAGTTGAATGTCTTTTCATTGTATTAACATTTCACTGCATGTCTTAACTCTTTATATAATAGAATAACCTTGATTTTTTTCTAATGAAGTGGTTTCATTGATGGCATCAAGAAGATGCAAAGAGTACAAAAGATAGTTATTACAAAAGAGAGTTTGTTGGCCTCCATTACATGAAGTTCTATGCTTAGGATAGGAGCTAACAAAGTCCAAAAGTTTGTCAGGGGTATTTACAGGAGGTAGATTGCACCGACTAAATAAAGATAAAAGACATCTAGTGCTTAAGGGAGTGAATTGGAGTTGATATTCCATCAAAATATCTGCGGTTCCTTCTGTCTAAAAACACCAAAAAATTCTTGCAGGGATCACTTTCCTTTTCCTGATGGATTTACCAACTTTTCAAGAGCTCCAATATTCATAAGCATACTTAATATTCTCTTGCATGACCCTGAAGTTTCCGTACCTTGTTTTAATTTTTAACTAGCCCTTATTTTATTGTCATGGGCTGTAAGCACGAATCCCCTATGTATTTCACTGTTTGTGATGAGATTCAGTTTTGGCAAGCTCAATTATGTGATCTCAGGACTAATGGATGTTAATTTACTTTGAATGCGAGAATTTTCTGACGGTTGAAAATTTTCTTTTTGGTAGCCCGCAGCACATAACACCAGTTCGAAGAAATTAGGGTGCGCTATGACTGAAAGGCAACCTTTTGCAGCTGAGGAAGCCAGAGGTGATACTTCTTAGTTAATATTCCCTTGCACCCCAACTTTTAGAGGAGATATGTGATTAATTAAGTATCAGGCATCACTAGCAGTCATTTCAATTCTTTCATTCTACTCTTTTCCCTTGGTATATGTTGTATAAACTCTTTAAATATCGGTAATTATTTCTCAATTCTGAAACTGGGATTGCTGATGTAGGTGAAAAACGTGCTGTTACTTATTCACCTGCAGTACAAGCTGAGAGTTCCAAGAAACAGCGTGAAAACAGTGCCTCCAATGCAAACACCAGTATTACATCAGCGGCTGATATAAACACAAAGCATTCATGTGAAAATGTTATTGAGAATGCTGAAATGAGTCTGGACACGGAGCCAGAAATAAGAGACTCAAATGCAGACACAAAAGTCATAACTGCTGAAAGTGTGGTTGCTGAAAGGCTATCAGCTGTTTCAACTCCTCTGTCAGATCTACTCCCAGGGCAGCAATTACCAGAAAATGAGCAGGAAAAACATATTAATAAAGAAACACCTAAGCAGTCGAGAAGATCCAGAAATAAGAAGTCAATTACACCTGGTCGTCGGATCTCAAAAAGACTTGTCGGCCACAGCCCCGAACCAGTGGCTAATTTGGATCTAGGTGAACGTGCTTTTCGAGCTGTGGTTAAGAAATCTGCCTCTTTGGGCATTCCCCTGAATGACTGTTGTCAGGAACTTGCCCAGAACGAAGATCTTACAGTAGGAACTGGCAATTCTGATCAGGCTTCTCTGAGCAGAGAAGCTTCAGCGGATGAATTACCACCAGGCTTAGAAAAAGAAATACTTGCCCAGAACAAAGATCCGACAGTAGGAATTGGCAATTCTGATCAGGCTTCTCTGAGCAGAGAAGCTTCAGTCGATGAATTACCCCCAGGCTTAGAAAAGGAAACACTTGCCCCGAACAAAGATCCGACAGTAGGAACTGGCAATTCTGATCAGGCTTCTCTGAGCACAGGAGCTTCAGCGGAGGAATTACCACCAACCCGGGAAAAGGAAATACTTGCCCCGACCAAAGATCCTACAGTAGGAACAGGCAATTCTGAGCAGGCTTTGAGCAGAGAAGCTTCAGCAGATCAATTACCACCAGGCTGGGACAAGGGAATACTTTCCCCGAACAAAGATTCTACTGCAGGAACTGGCAATTCTGATCAGGCTTCTCTGAGCAGAGAAGCTTCAGCGGAGGAATTACGACCAGCCTGGGAAAAGGAAATACTTGCCCCAAACAAAGATCCTACTGTAGGAACTGGCTATTCTGTTCAGGCTTCTCTGAGCAAAGAAGCTTCAGCGGATGAATTACCACCAGGCTGGGGAAAGGAAATACTTATCCAGAACAAAGATCTGAGCGGAGAAGCTTCAGCGGATGAATTACCACCAGGCTTTACCTGGAATAAAGGTCCGATATTAGGAACTGGCAATTCCGATCAGGCTTCTCTGACCAGAGAACCTTCAGCAGATGACTTACCACCAGGCTTTACCTGGAATAAAGGTCCAAGAGTAGGAACTAACAATTCTGATCAGGCTTCTCTGAGCAGAGAAGCTTCAGCGGATGAATTACCACCAGGCTTTACCTGGAATAATGGTCCGACAGTAAGAACTGGCAATTCTGATCAGGCTTCTCTGATCAGAGAAGCTTCAGCGGATGAATTACCACCAGGATTTACCTGGAATAAAGGTCCGACAGGAAGAACTGGCAATTCTGATCAGGCTTCTCTGAGCAGAGAGGCTTCAGCGGATGAATTACCACCAGGCTTTACCTGGAACAACTGTCCGACAGTTGAAACTGGCAATTCTGATCAGGCTTTTCTGAGCAGAGAAGCTTCAGCGGATGAATTACCCCCAGGCTGGGAAAAGGAAATACTTGCCCAGAAGAAAGATCCTACTGTAGGAACTGGCAATTCTTATCAGTCTTTTCTGAGAAGAGAAGCTTCAGTCGATGAATTACCACCAGGCTGGAAAAAAGAAATCAGAATTAGGCAAAACGCACGTGGGATAAGAAAGGACCCGGTATTTATCTTTCTTCCGCAGCATTTCTGTCTCCCCCTCCCCTCCCTTCCCGCGCGCGCTTCTCTCTCCCTCTCTTTCTCATGCACATCATCCTATTCAAGCAGAGAATGTTTTACACCATTCTGCAGAAATGGGATATGCATGAGAAAGGGTGCTTCTGGAGAAGGGTTATGTCACTGTTTATGTGGCAGGCATGGAATGCTGCATTAGTATTTGTAGTTAGTATCTTACGGTAACTTGGTCATTGCAGTTTTACACGGATCCAGTTCATGGATATGTATTTCGCTCCAAAAAGGATGTTATGCGCTATCTGCAAACTGGAGACATCAGTAGGTGTGCAATGAGACCTACCAAAAGAGATCCGGATTCAGAAATGAAGGGTAATTCTGTAAGTGCACCTTTCTGGATCCCCCACCTCGGGTTTCCTGTCAACTCTATTCTTGCTACTTGTTTGATAAAGCCTGTTCTCCATGTTACTGCTATTCAGCTTGCATATAAATCTTGTTGATCGTATTTGTATGAACCCTTTACTAGGAAGATATATTCGATCCTGTAAGAACAGTGATGAAACTTTGTTTTCTGTATTGGAGGTGCTCTACACCTATTGTTAAACAGACATGCTTCTTCTGAGACTGAGTGGCTGCTTTAGAGAACACTCACAGGGAAGATAAATTTGAAAGCAATGACCTTATCCAAGTTCAAAGAGAATAAATCCACATCATACTATTTGAATTGGAATATGTGGAGACAATAGCTTATGTGAAACTATAGCTAAATATGATGTCATAGAAGGTTAAAAGGAATGACTCAGTGCCTTAAGAGTTACCAGATCTGGACCACCATCCTGAGTATTATCCCTATCCTCATAAGTTCTTTAAATGAGGGAAGTCTTTATAAATTATAGCTGAAAACGTTTTTCTCAGGGCAAAAAAAACTATGGCTGAAAACAGTGCTATAGAAAGTTAAGAGGAAAGACTCAATACCTTGTGATTTCCAGATTTCAACCGCCATTTCATGCATTATATAAGCTTTTGTTTTCTTTGTGAGTTCTTAAACGAGGAGGATAATCTTTATGTCCAGCGTCTTGCATGTACAAATAATCATGCATGTGGAAACTTTAAGTGGAATGCCCTTTCATTGGATTGACATTAAGCAGCATGTCTTTAATGGGCGACAGCAATCACAAATCCTTTATGCATAGTTCGTGACAAGATTGGAGTTCGGCAACTTCAATTTTTCAGTTCTCAATACAAGTGTATGTTGATTTTCCTTGAAAGGGAGAAATTTCTGACGGTTGATGCTTCTTTCTTTTGATAGCCCTCAACACGTGGTGCCAGTTCAAAGAAATTAGGGTGCTCTTTGTCTGGAAGACAGCCTTTTTCTATTGAGGAATTAAAAGGTGATGCTTTTTTATTGGCAATTTTGCTCAATTTTTCCAATTTACTCTTGTCATTTATATTTGTTCTGTTGTATTCTCTAATCGTTGAGAGTTATTTCTGAATTCTGAAACTGGAGTTGCTGATGTAGGTGGAGAGTGTTTTGTTACTTATTCACTGGCACTACAAGCTGAGAGTTCCAATGAACATCCTGAAAGCAGCGTGTTCAACAACACCATTAGTTCATCTACTGTAGCTGATACAACAGAAAAGCATTCATGCGGAAATGTAAATGTAGATGCTGAAATAAGACTAGACATGGAACGAGAATTAAGAGACTCAATTGGAGACACAAAAGCTGTAGCTGCTGAAAGTGTTGATGTTAAAAGGTCATTAGCTGTTTCCCCTCAGATGGACTTCTTCCCAGAGCTGCAATTACCAGAAAATAAGAAGAAAAAACATAGTAATAAAAAATTGCCAGCGCAGTCGAGAAAAATTAGAAATGAGGAGTCATTTACACCGGTTCGCCGGGTTTCAAAGAGACTCTCAGGCCACTACTCAGAAGTGGTGCCTGATTTAAATGTAGGTGAATGTGGTCCTGGATCTGTCTCTTCAGGCCATCCCCTGACTGTCTCTGGTCGGGAATTGTCCCAGCAAGCTGATCTGGCCACTTTGGATCAGGCCTTTCTAAGAAAAATAGCTTTATCACAAGATGATCCGTTGGAAATTGTGAAGTGTCCTTCAGAGGGCCAAGCTTTTAAAGAGCAGAAAGCTGCGAAGGAATTAACAAGTGAGAAACAAGATGATAGAAGAATATTGCGAGATCCTCAGCCAGCTGAAATATCATATGAAATCGGAAAGGTTCACTTGGAGCACCAGGTGGTTAAAGAAAGGCCTACAGCACAAGACAGTCAGAAGAGATTATTGAACAATTCTTGGCCAGCTCAATTAGCATGGGGAAATAGGGTACTCCCTGTGGAGAACCAATATGTTTCAGAAAGGTGTTCTGTAGAGCAGGTAAGTGAGAAACACGATTATGAGAACATGCAATTGCGAGATTCACAACTAGGTGAATCATCACAGAGAAGTAGAGAGCTTAATGTGGAAAATCAGCCTGTTAGAGAAAAGCAAACAGGAGAGCTAGTAACTGAGAATCAAGATGAGCAGAGCAGAAGATTGCAAGCACAACTAGCTTCTTACCCATTTGGGGATTATTGGTCAGACCCATGCATGGAATTTGCATTCAAGACCCTTACTGGTGCGATACCAGTAGAAGATACCCTCGCCTTTCAAGGATCTTCCCAGCAAGAATTCAATACTTCTTACACTCAGGCTGATGATGGGTGCTTTGAACTGCCATTATTCAACACTTCCAGCTTTTACATGAATGATGTTCCTAGCCATTGCACTCCATCAGAGGAGCGCGTTCCGCTGGAGCAACCTCCAATAACTCAAACCTTTTTGCCCACTGGAAGTAATAGCATGCCAGGTTGCAGTAGTGTTGTTTCTCAAAGTCCAGGTTTGGACACCCAGGCTAAGGATTATCAATCTAAAGTTAAATCGCAGTGTCCAGGTATGGACACCCAGGCCAATAAATCAAACTTTTTTGCCCACTGGAAATAATAGCACACCGGGCTGCAATAGTGTTGTTTCTCAAAGTCTGCGTTTCGACACCCAGGCCAAGGACTATCAATGTAACGTCAAGTCGCAGAAGTTGGATCAAGTAATAACATGGAACTGCTCTTGTTTGTGTGAATGCATTTTTGTGCAGCTATTACCCTCTAGCTGTTTTAAACTTTTTTTGATGCAGTTTCTTGACTTAGGGGGGCTGTCTATAATTGGTTGATGCTTCATCAACAGGTAATGCTTCATCAAATGTATGTGGGATGAGATGGATATATTAGATTTGTTCGATCCAGGTGGTCGAAATGTAGATGCAACTTTTTGAATATTTAGATCTCATGATCAGTAGTACTTTAGACAATCTTTTTCCCACTTCAAAAGGCATAATAGACAAAAGTTTGCTTAATGTTTTCTGTATAAGGTACGATCTCTAAGCTTTGGTAGCACGTAATTTTGTCGGTGTTCTCTCTCTCTCTCTCAATGGATTGCTAAGGGATTACAGCTTGTGGTGACATAAACCGGAAGTGGATCTCTTGGTTACCCGATTCATCTAAGTGTTCCTCTTCAGACGGGAAATTATCTATGAAACTTGAAACAAGGCATATGTCGTCCATACTGCAAACCCGATGTCAGTCATTATTACAACAAAAAATTGGGAAGTGTTCTAGGCAAGTGGAACACACTGAATGATTTCTTCACTAGAATTTCAGAATCTTATACCGCATGGTTTTGGAACTTGACAATTTGGAAGCTATGGTAAAATCATATTACATAATAATCCTTATATAACAACTCATGAAATAATAAATCGAAAATCATGGCAAAGAGCACCAAGCAAAAATTTGCCTCTTCTCTCTACAAACCACAAAAAAAGGGAAAGAAAACCCCAACATGTTCATTTAAGTATATATATTGGAACACAACGTCTGGAATCAAATTGGTAATCTGAAGAACAACATCAAATTGATCGATGGACTTATGCTTCACTATAAGAAGACTCTTTCCATCCGCCATAGCTTTCTTCTTGTTCTTCTTCACGCTCATCCTGCAACATAGAAAAAGATACGATGCACTTAGCACGCTCATTATACTTGCATGTCTGGATGTGCTAATTTTTAGAGTTCTTTATCTAGGGTCAACAACAACAACAACAACCCAATATGATCCCACAAGTGCGGTCTAGGGAGGGTAGTGTGTACGCAGACCTTACCCCTACCCTAGGGTATAGAGGCTGTTTCCAATAGACCCTTGACATCCTTCCCTCCAAGAACTCCCTACCTTGCTCTTGGGGGACTCGAACTCACAACCTCTTAGTTGGAAGTGAAGGGTGCTTACTTCAACTTGCTTGAGATTGAGGCATAATAGTAGTTGTTATTCGGTGCTGCCAAATGTCACGGATCCCNAGCTCAGAAATTTAAGCGGGACAAAAGATACACAGTCAGACCTCTCTATAACAACCATTTACTATAAAAGCCAAATTTTTCTCGGAACCGATTTTTATATTATGTTATAATATATGTCATCTGTAAAAGCACTTTACTATAGAAACCAAAAAAATATTGGAACAAACAAGCTGTTATAGAGAGATTTGACTGTATCCAATGTGAAGCATATGAATTAATAAAAGTGGGAAGAAAGTAACATGCCTGAGGAGTAAAAGTGAGACCAACTTTAATTTCTCCGCAATATTCTTCATTTTTAACTACATTATATGCAGTTGTTGGGATGCTTCCTTCTGAACAAACTGGCTCAATAGGTATCCTGCATATATCATACACATGGAAATAGTTCAAAAACAAATACCAACCATTCAACTTCTGTAACAAAACCAATAATCTCTGAAATTTTTAGGTCACGCTCGTGTAAAATAATCACTCGAAAGTAACATATGCAGATCTCCAACATATTAGCAGTGGGTGCAAGTACAACCATACTCTAAGTTGCTCCGACACGGCATTTTAGGTGCTGCACCCGTGTCGACACGATACTAGTATGGGTGTAGGTATGAGATTCGTACTGCATCTGGTCAAACAATTTTAGGTACTTTGACCACGACGGATGGAAAAATTTGAAACGAGTACAATTTGATCCCCAAATCAGAACCAAAACTAGGGCAAATTTGAAGAAAATAACATACTTTATCTAGGAAATCACTCCTTTACTTATCTACAACTTGAGAATAAAAATAATTCACATTCTACAAGCTATATGCGTATGTATTCAACAAAATTTTCTCATAATTTAGTGATATTTTTATTTTATTGAATTGTTTTTGCCGGATCCCCGTACCTGTATCCATACTAGAATCCACATCCCCGAATTTTAGAATTTACGTCTTGAAGGATCCGACCACTAGATCCGCACCTGTATCCGTACTAGAATCCGTCCCCGAATATTAGAATTTACATCTTAAAGAATCCGACCTCTAGATCCACACCCGTGTCCGAGCAACTTAGACCATACTATCAAACTCAGACTATGTTTATACATACAAAAAATATGTATAAATCTTAGATTCACCTCTAATAATACTTACTTGGCTTCTCCTACAAAGTCGTCTTCACCTACAGAATCACTGTCCATTATCTTCAAGAACAGTTCTTCAACACCCTCAGAAATAGAGAAAATAAAGTTTTCATTCCATTCAGGTTCACATCCTTTCCCTATGGAAAACCAACATCAAGATCATCAAAAATTTTATTAATCAAATTTAATTTTTTTCTTAATCAATGTGAAACTAATAATACTAAAACACTTAACCAAAACGATTATGACATTATACCTGATGCAACACTGCTCTTTTTCTCCTGAGATCGACAAGTTAGGATCACATATGGATCCATATTATCTGTATCACCAGAAGTAATACATTTAAACAAGCAAAATATATGAGAAATTAAAAAAAAGGAAATAGGCGAATATGATCTGAGTAAATATTCTCTTTTTAAGAAACGATCGTGCATTTTTAATTCCGAATTTTTTTTTTTTACTTTTTTCCGAAATCAGCGTTTGTTCATAAAATTTTTAATTTTCACTTGAATATGCATTTTGGAATTTTTCGAAAATTTGAAAAACTCAAAAAAACTGTTTTTCAAAATTCACTCAGATCACCCACAAAACTTCAAAAACAACCCAAAATTTTATTCATGTCCAAACACAACTCTAATTTTCAAATACCATTTTCATTTGAAATTCTTTTTCACCTTTTTTTTAAATTTTACAATTCTTATGTCCAAACACCCACTTAGTTTATCACTTTATCAACATAGATCCCCAAATTGAAGTCAAATGACCAAGATGAATGTTGAATTTATTATTCCTTTGAGTCCATTTTATTTGACATTATTTGACTAGGCATAAGCTAAATTTAAATTTACTAGTTTACTGTAGAATAAAAATATTAAAATACTAAAGAAAAACTTAATTTGAACAAGAAATCATCAAATCAAATATTATAACGAAACTATTAAACTGATTTGATTTTTTAACTTGACTAGTTCACTAATCATCAGCAAGATTAAGATCCAAAATACAAATTCAAGGTCTTTTCTACATCCATTGAAATAATTCTCCTGGATCATAAGATCAGTTATGGTATGGTGAATTTAAACTTTTTAAAGGCTTGAATTTTCTATTATTTATTTTATATATTAATTTTCCACCAAATTCTAAGGAGAAAACAGAAATCCACATCCAATTCAACTGATCAGACCAAAAAACCGCAAAAAAATTAAAATAAATAAATAAATTGACGAATCAAATAATATTGCAGATCACTTACTGAGAAAATCAGTATTATCAAGGCCTTTAGCTCCAACGAGAAGTACTTCAAGTATTCCTCGCGACATTTTCAATGGAAAATATCACAGATCCCGAGGTAAAAAAAAGAAGCAGATTCTAAATACAGAAAAGTTTAGGACAAAGAGATTCTACTTTGAGAGGAAAAGCCGGTGTTTTATACGAGCGAAAAGGATACCGGTTTAGGTGGGGTTAGACCGGGCTGATTATAGCTTGAACCGGCCGGGTGAGCTCCTTGATTGGTGGTGACCGGTCGGCTGGAGTAGGGATCTGGTGTGATAAGTATATTATGTGAGTTGTGGATCTAGCATATGGAAAATCACATGGTGTCTCTTTATTTTAATTTCTTTTATTATTTAGGTCATATATATATTGACGATTTAATAAATTTGTAAAACCAGCTGACTTAAAAGGTAATTACAAATAAATATTAATTAGTAATTTGATAACAATTGTAAATAATAATAGGTTAAATTACCACACAAAAAATACTTTAGACTTAATTTTTTTTAAAAAAAACTACCAGCTATGTTCATTTATTAAGTAACTTATTATAAAAATTGGTTAGTTCATAAAATATTACTAATATTAGCCAAGTGTTACCTATATTAGTTAATTAATTATTTGTAGCAAAAAAAGGTCAATGTTTTTGCTTTCTTTTGAATGAATGCTATTAGAGATTGGTACATCTTGAGATGATTTGGCGGAGTTTTAAGGTGGTTTGAATAGTAAATCCGAAGTCGAAGATGAACATAAAAAAAATAATATGTGTATCACATATGTATCAAATGTGTATCACATGTATATCTGTGTGTGAGATACACGTGTGATAAATGTGTCGCAGAAGAATTTTTTGAACTCAAATTTAACTACGAATTTTGATACCAAATCAGTCCAAATCACCTCCAATCTTCCTCAAAATTTGTATACTGACTCATCTATATATTTTCAATGAATTTCAACCATACCCATTGAAAAAGATCCTTTTTGCTACTTTTGGAATCTTGTATATATATATTTTTTAATTTTATCACCTTATTTGCTACCTCATCCATGAAATTTTACGTCCATCTTGCATCTAATATTGCTAATCACGCTTAAAAATATGGAAGAAAATCTTTACGGGTGATTTTTGAAGAGAAAGAATCTTATATATTTGGGTTTTTAATTTTTATGTGTTTGACTAATTTTTGTAAGATTGATTAATGGCTAGAGTTGGGTAAGTTAGGACTATTTATATAAGATTCCCTCTTTTCAATTCTTAAGAAATCCGCTTCTAATCTTCTCTTTAATTTCTTCTCCATTTTATACGATTGGTCAAGTCTAGTTTAAGTCCATTTTAACTAGCCTTTAAAACATGTTTATTAATTAATGTAAAAGAGGAAATTTGTGGGGTGGG